GACCCAGTAGGCTGAGAGACTATGTAGAGTGACGTAGTTTAGACATCAAGAGTTACGAACATGTAGGCTTAGAGCCTATGTAGAGTTACGTAGTTTAGACATCAAGAGTTACGAACATGTAGGCTGAGAGACTATGTAGAGTGACGTAGTTTAGACATCAAGATTTAAAAACCTGTAGGCTGAGATACTATGTAGAGTTACGTAGTTCAGATTTCAAGAGTTACGACCCTGTAGGCTGAGGGACTATGTAGAGTTACGTAGTTTAGACATCAAGGGTTACGAACATGTAGGCTGAGAGACTATGTAGAGGGACGTAGTTTAGACATCAAGAGTTACGACTCTGTAGGCTGAGAGACTATGTAGAGTTACGTAGTTTAGACATCAAGATTTACGACCCTGTAGGCTGAGAGACTATGTAGAGTGACGTAGTTCAGATTTCAAGAGTTACGACCCTGTAGGCTGAGGGACTATGTAGAGTTACGTAGTTTAGACATCAAGAGTTACGACCCTGTAGGCTGAGGGACTATGTAGAGTTACGTAGTTTAGACATCAAGAGTTACGAACCTGTAGGCTGAGAGACTATGAAGAGTTACGTAGTTCAGATTTCAAGAGACATGACTCTGTAAGGCTGAGAGACTATGTAGAGCCATAGTTTAGACATTAAGAGTTACGAACCTGTAGGCTGAGAGACTATGTAGAGTTACGTAGTTCAGATTTCAAGAGTTACGACTCTGCAAGGCTGAGAGACTATGTAGAGTTACATAGTTTAGACATCAAGAGTTACGAACCTGTAGGCTGAGAGACTATGTAGAGTTACGTAAGCTTAGACATCAAGAGTTACGACCCTGTAGGCTGAGGGACTATGTAGAGTTAAGTAGTTTAGACATCAAGAGTTACGAACCTGTAGGCTGAGGGACTATGTAGGTTAAGTAGTTTAGACATCAAGAGTTACTGACCCCTGTGGGCTGAGAGACTATGTAGAGTTAAGTAGTTTAGACATTTAGAGTTACGACCCTGTAGGCTGAGAGACTATGTGTAGAGTTACAGTAGTTAAGACATCAAGAGTTACGACTCTGTAGGCTGAGAGACAATGTATAGTTACGTAGTTTAGACATCAAGAGTTACGACTCTGTAGGCTGAGAGACTATGTAGAGTTACATACTTTAGACATCAAGACATTACGAACCTGTAGGCTGAGAGACTATGTAGAGTATTACGTAGCTCAGACATTAAGAGTTACGAACATGTAGGCTGAGAGCCTATGTAGAGTTACGTAGTTTAGACATCAAGAGTTACGAACATGTAGGCTGAGAGCCTATGTAGAGTGACGTAGTTTAGACATTAAGAGTTACGAACATGTAGGCTGAGAGCCTATGTAGAGTTACGTAGTTTAGACATCAAGAGTTACGAACATGTAGGCTGAGAGCCTATGTAGAGTTACGTAGTTTAGACATTAAGAGTTACGACCCTGTAGGCTGAGAGACTATGTAGAGTTACGTAGTTTAGACATCAAGAGTTACGAACATGTAGGCTGAGAGCCTATGTAGAGTTACGTAGTTTAGACATCAAGAGTTACGAACATGTAGGCTGAGAGACTATGTAGAGTTACGTAGTTTAGACATCAAGAATTACGAACATGTAGGCTGAGAGCCTATGTAGAGTTAATGAGGTTTAGACATTAAGAGTTACGAAACTGTAGGGCTGAGAGACTATGTAGAGTTACATAGTTTAAACATCAAGATTTACGAACCTGTAGGCTGAGAGACTATGTAGAGTTACGTAGTTCAGATTTCAAGAGTTACGACCCTGTAGGCTGAGGGACTATGTAGAGTTACATAGTTTAGACATCAAGAGTTACGACTCTGTAAGGCTGAGAGCCTATGTAGAGTGACGTAGTTTAGACATTAAGAGTTACGAACATGTAGGCTGAGAGACTATGTAGAGTTACGTAGTTTAGACATCAAGAGCTACGACCCTGTAGGCTGAGGGACTATGTAGAGTTAAGTAGTTTAGACATCAAGAGTTACGAACCTGTAGGCTGAGGGACTATGTAGAGTTAAGTAGTTTAGACATCAAGAGTTACGACCCTGTAGGCTGAGAGACTATGTAGAGTTAAGTAGTTTAGACATTTAGAGTTACGACCCTGTAGGCTGAGAGACTATGTAGAGTTACGTAGTTTAGACATCAAGAGTTACGAACCTGTAGGCTGAGAGACAATGTATAGTTACGTAGTTTAGACATCAAGAGTTACGACTCTGTAGGCTGAGAGACTATGTAGAGTTACATACTTTAGACATCAAGAGTTACGAACCTGTAGGCTGAGAGACTATGCAGAGTTACGTAGCTCAGACATTAAGAGTTACGAACATGTAGGCTGAGAGCCTATGTAGAGTTACGTAGTTTAGACATCAAGAGTTACGAACCTGTAGGCTGAGAGCCTATGTAGAGTTACGTAGTTTAGACATTAAGAGTTACGAACATGTAGGCTGAGAGCCTATGTAGAGTTACGTAGTTTAGACATCAAGAGTTACGAACCTGTAGGCTGAGAGCCTATGTAGAGTTACGTAGTTTAGACATTAAGAGTTACGAACATGTAGGGCTGAGAGACTATGTAGAGTGACGTAGTTTAGACATCAAGAGTTACGAACATGTAGGCTGAGAGCCTATGTAGAGTTACGTAGTTCAGACATTAAGAGTTACGACCATGTTGGCTGAGAGACTATGTAGAGTTACGTAGTTTAGACATCAAGAATTACGAACCTGTAGGCTGAGAGACTATGTAGAGTTACGTAGTTCAGACATCAAGAGTTACATGACCCTGTAGGCTGAGAGACTATGTAGAGTTACGTAGTTTAAACATCAAGATTTTACGACCCTGTAGGCTGAGAGACTATGTAGAGTTACGTAGTTCAGACATCAAGAGTTACGACCCTGTAGGCTGAGAGACTATGTAGAGTTACGTAGTTCAGACATCAAGAGTTACGACCCTGTAGGCTGAGAGACTATGTATAGCTACGTAGTTCAGACATCAAGAGTTACGACCCTGTAGGCTGAGAGACTATGTTACTACTGTAGCCAGACATCAAGAATTACGAACCTGTAGGCTGAGAGACTATGTAGAGTTACGTAGTTCAGACATCAAGAGTTACGACCCTGTAGGCTGAGAGACTATAGTTACGTAGTTCAGACATCAAGAATTACGACCCTGTAGGCTGAGAGACTATGTAGAGTTACGTAGTTCAGACATCAAGAGTTACGACCCTGTAGGCTGAGAGACTATGTAGAGTGACGTAGTTCAGACATCAAGAGTTACGACCCTGTAGGCTGAGAGACTATGTGAGTTACGTAGTTCAGACATCAAGAATTACGACCCTGTAGGCTGAGACTATGTAGAGTTACGTAGTTCAGACATCAAGAGTTACGACCCTGTAGGCTGAGAGACTATAGAGTTACGTAGTTCAGACATCAAGAGTTACGACCCTGTAGGCTGAGAGACTATGTAGAGTTACGTAGTTCAGACATCAAGAGTTACGACCCTGTAGGCTGAGAGACTATGTAGAGTTACGTAGTTCAGACATCAAGAATTACGACCCTGTAGGCTGAGAGACTATGTAGAGTTACGTAGTTCAGACATCAAGAATTACGACCCTGTAGGCTGAGAGACTATGTAGAGTTACGTAGTTCAGACATCAAGAATTACGACCCTGTAGGCTGAGAGACTATGTAGAGTTACGTAGTTCAGACATCAAGAGTTACGACCCTGTAGGCTGAGAGACTATGTAGTTACGTAGTTCAGACATCAAGAATTACGACCCTGTAGGCTGAGAGAGACTATGTAGAGTTACGTAGTTCAGACATCAAGAGTTACGACCCTGTAGGCTGAGGGACTATAGTTACGTAGTTTAGACATCAAGAATTACGACCCTGTAGGCTGAGAGACTATGTAGAGTTACGTAGTTCAGACATCAAGAGTTACGACCCTGTAGGCTGAGAGACTATGTAGAGTTACGTAGTTCAGACATCAAGAGTTACGACCCTGTAGGCTGAGAGACTATGTAGAGTTACGTAGTTCAGACATCAAGAGCTACGACCCTGTAGGCTGAGAGACTATGTAGAGTTACGTAGTTTAGACATAAAAGAGTTACGAACCTGTAGGCTGAGAGACTATGTAGAGTTACGTAGTTCAGACATCAAGAGTTACGAACCTGTAGGCTGAGAGACTATGTAGAGTTACGTAGTTGAGACATCAAGAGTTACGAACATGTAGGCTGAGAGACTATGTAGAGTTACGTAGTTCAGACATCAAGAGTTACGACCCTGTAGGCTGAGAGACTATGTAGAGTTACGTAGTTCAGACATCAAGAGTTACGACTCTGTAGGCTGAGAGACTATGTAGAGTTACGTAGTTCAGACATCAAGAGTTACGACTCTGTAGGCTGAGAGACTATGTAAAGAGTGACGTAGGTTTAGACATCAAGATTTACGACATCAAGAATTCTGTAGGCTGAGAGACTATGTAGAGTTACGTAGTTCAGACATCAAGAGTTACGACTCTGTAGGCTGAGAGACTATGTACAGTTACGTAGTTCAGACATCAAGAGTTACGACCCTGTAGGCTGAGAGACTATGTAGAGTTACGTAGTTCAGACATCAAGAGTTACGACCCTGTAGGCTGAGAGACTATGTAGAGTTACGTAGTTCAGACATCAAGAGTTACGACCCTGTAGGCTGAGAGACTATGTAGAGTCACGTAGTTCAGACATCAAGAGTTACGACCCTGTAGGCTGAGAGACTATGTAGAGTTACGTAGTTCAGACATCAAGAGTTACGACCCTGTAGGCTGAGAGACTAGAGTTACGTAGTTTCAGACATCAAGAGTTACGACCCTGTAGGCTGAGAGACTATGTACAGTTACGTAGTTTAGACATAAAAGAGTTACGACCCTGTAGGCTGAGAGACTATGTAGAGTTACGTAGTTCAGACATAAAAGAGTTACGAACCTGTAGGCTGGATGGCTCTTGGCGCCGGTTGGCCCACTGGAAGGAACAACATACACATGGTATTAGTGTATCAGTTTGTCTCATAGCAGACATCTCCGGTTAGACCAGAAACACACTAGAAGAACGTTGGAACTACAACATATACTGAACTACAACCATGAACCATACTGAGAATCGGTTCCATGTAGAACACGAATGAAACAAGCAATGATGGTTACTCCGCGACGTTGTGTTTCTCATAATAAATTACAAAAGTTGACATCCATAAAAACTCTCTTCCTTAAATACCAAAATGAATATATATAATTGGTACATACTGGTACACTGGGTACACTGGGTACACTGGGACTGAATATACTGGTACACTGGTACACTGAATATACTGGTACACTGGGTACACTGAATATACTGGTACACTGGGTACACTGACTATACTGGGTGTGTGGGTGTCCCCCCATTAGTCATACCATGTGTTGTACCGTTAACCATTCACTTCATCACAAGAAAGACCTGGGTTTAAATCCCAAGAAGGGTGCAGCGTATGATGATGACTTCAAAATATCTTAAAGGCACAATGTCACACCTTTTCGACAATATTTTGGCCTGTATTTTATCTATTAGGGGCATATCCACACAAACTTTAGCCTCTTATTGATGCAATAAAAGACTTGTTATCCCTTACGACTTGCCTGAAATCGATAACTGAGACTTCGAGGCGAACAGCTTCCAAACAGATAACACTTGCCATACTTGGAATGTAAACGATTGCTCCGTACATCGAAAACTGTTTTACGCGGAGTTGTCGGTGTTTGACGTGTTTGACGAACTGGTTTCATAATATTGTTTCATAATAATGTTAGTCCGGTAGAGGCCGCAACGCTGCATTCACATAATAGTACTATTTAATTTAATATTGTAATCTAAATACGTAAGTAATAGGGGAATAAATTATATGGCAGCTTCCTTCAGGGCCAGTAGTTAGTGTTATTGAGAAACATGCATTATGTATTTTTAGAGAAGTGTGTGTGTGTGTGTGTGTGTGTGTGTGTGTGTGTATGGGGGGGGGGGACATTGTGCAAAAACCTGCTCACCCACTCACCACATTCCCTCATACCAACACTTACTTTTTACTTGTCGAAGCTGTAACTTGCCAGATGCTGGATGCTGGGGTCTGGGATTTGCTGACGTCAGCTTAATCTTATTGATGGGGTTCCCTACACGCAAAGATTTATGGGTCTTGGCAGCCGCTGAAAAACTCCCCAGAGTAGAGTAGAGTAGAGGACGTTGTATGGTTGACGTTGGTGCTGGTTTGGGTAAAACTGACCCTAAAGCATTCCTTGAAGGAGGCTGTTGATGTGGACGTCCAGAATGATGGGTTCTTCTATGATGGTGTCTTCTCTGACTAACCCCTCTTGGACTGGTTGAAGGGTGTCCGGCATGTGTAGGTCTGGGCAGTATTGCAGATACTAGTTTACTTATGCCAGTATTCAACGCAGCAATCTGACCTCGTGGGTTATCAGTTGAAGCTGTGGTGTTGGACGCGGAAGGGGGTCTAAGATGTGGCCTCCTCTGTGGATGGGGTGACTGTGAAGAGGATGCTGGACGTTTCAGATGGTGGTGAGTCGTGGAAGGATGTCCAGGTCGTCCCAGTTTAATGTTTGGGTGCCGCTGTGTCGCTCTTGGTTTGCCATCTATTAGATTCGTCTTGGGCACAACACTTCTTACCTCAACAGACTTCCGTGGATGTGTTGGATGTACTGAGGAGGCCGTGGCATAAGGAACACCCTTTCGTCCAGCGGCTGCCCGATGTGTGCCTGGGACGGGTCTGGTTGTCACTTTAGATGAATGTCTCGGATTGCCCTGACCCCCAAGGGCAGCAGGCATTCCTTGTTTGAGACCACGCCCTCTCGTCATTCTGGAATGGTTTATGAAGTTGTGAGATGTCCGTAAGCCTTTATGTAGTGAGGTGTGAAGTGTGGTGTGCAAAGGTATATGAGAGAATGTTGGTTTTGTGAAGTTTTGTCTACGGAATGTTGGTTGTGGTGTGACTCTGTGTGAGTGTATCCTACTAGGGTATCTCTGGAGAAAGTGGCTTCTTGGTACAACAGTCTGGCTTCCAAATCGTTGTGAACTACCCATGGTCTGTTTATTGGTTTGAAACGATCGCAGTGGTTGCACGGTACGTTGAGGATATTGATACTGCATCCGCCCTGTCCTCGTATTCAGGGGGAATTTGGGGGCCGGGGTTGCGGACAGCATCGACATGTTTGGGTTGACTGAAGTCCGCAACACTGGGGTGTTATGTCTCATGGTTAGAGCACTGTTGACGAATGACGACCGGCGTGGTAAGCTTAGGTGACTTGTTCTTGGAGGAACTGTGGGTTGCTGAATACTTAATGGTTTTACGGTCACGCCAGTGCTGCCTCCCACCTGCTTTAACGTAAGATGTCCGTGTAGGGACTCACCAGTTCCAGAAAACTGCATCTGGTCACTCAGTTCAATTCGACCTCTCACATTTACATGCCCTTGTGTTCCTGGGTTAAACCTGTTTTGTGCTAGGACCAAAGACTGCCCAATCAAAGTGGGGTTCCTGCCCGAATTGCTAATATAATCTGTATAGTGTGACGTCGTCAGTTTTGAAGTATCTAATACATTAACATGTGGCGTCGTAGGTTGTGACGTCGTTGACTGTGAAGTGATTGAAACTGTCGTTGGCGTCAAGGTGGTTGTTGGAGGTACTGGTGAGGACGCGCTGGCTGTTAATGCGGCAACAGATGTTGTAGATACGAGCACTGGCGTTGATGTTGTTACTGTATATGTGGAGGTCTCAGTGGTTACTGGCCGAGCTTCAAGGCCTTGGTTATTGGGTTGAGTGTTGTTGTTTACAATTGCCGATGTTCTAGTCTGTGAGTCAACGTTCCCCTGGGCAAGCAATTGTAGTCTGTCCATATTCTGAATCTGGGCGTCAAACAACTGGTGGCTTTGATGGAACGCTTCTTTATACGAACTTGACACCACGGTGACTGGAGAGGAGGCATTTTCGTGAATAGCTGGAGTGAAGCTGTGGCTCGGAAGGGTTCCTGTGTCTGGTGGTCCCTCGACCATGTTGGGCGAGCCTGAACTCTCTGCCGTGGTAGAAGCTGAACTGTTTACTGACGGAATGGTTACTGTCGTGTGTTCTGCTGTTGGTTCTGGTGCTGGTTCACCTGTTGTTGGTTGTGGTGTTGTCGGTAAAATTGTTGTTTCGGTTGAAGTTCGTGAAGATGTAGAAGCTGCTGATGACGAAGACTCCACTGCAGTCGAGGTCATCAGGTTCGTACCTTCAGTTGTAGTCTGTCTTAATGGATAACGCGGGTTCGGGTTTGGTTTGACATGAGTGGGCCTTGGTCCCATGCTATCACTGGGGCGAACATTCCACACTGCTCGGTACCTGTCTCTCTGTAGAAGGTACTCTGGTCGGATGTTGATCTGTCGGTCTCGATACAGTGGCGGTCTTCCAGGATTCAGCTGCTGGGAACGAGGGTCCATGTGTTTCAGCTGCCGACCGTACGGTTGTGAAAGGGATGATGTTTGAAGCGTTGGCAACGGAGTCACTGTAGTTGCCTCCACCATCTTAGAAGAAGGTGACATAGAAACTAAAGGTGTTTCAGTCATCAGCTTCTCACTAGTTGCCACAGGTGGTTGAGTAGATGTAGTCTGTGAGGTTGAAGTTGGCGTGGTCGGTAGCTGTGTGGTTGATGACGGTGTAGTTGAAGTGGATGCAGTTGATGGTGGTGTGGTCGATGCTTGTGTTGATGGATCGTATGACGTTGTTGTTGGTGTGGGCAGTGTGGTTATTTTCCTGGCAGTGTCCGCGATCTGATATACAGAGTTATGACTCTGCTGGACCACCAGGCCACCGCGGATGTAGTCCGAACCGACAGCACCAGCAGCTACTTGGTTCGGTACCGAGTTCAACTCGTAATACCCCTGGTAGTACGGCGTGTGCGTCAGATAGTCAGGGTACAGGGTCTGGGGTAGAGTGTAGTAGGTCCCCGGGGAGGTGTAGCTCCACGACTGGGTTGTCAAGTGCGGCTCCTGTCTAACACCATATAGACTCCCCGCGTCTAGATAGGGAGAACTTGTAACGGAGCTGTATGGATCGGGAATGGCGTTTGGAATACCTGATCTGATCCTAGCACCATTGAGTGAAACTGAGTTGAGGTTAAATATTGACGGTCCTTCCGCTGCTTGGGTCAGAGCGTCCAGGGGCGTGGGTGGATGACCAGGCCGAGGATGTGTCTGCGGGGCTGCTGTAGATGGGGACGTGGTGGACGCAACTCCAGCTGTTTTATTGGATTTTAAAACAGTCCCAAATCTTTCTCCATTCTGGACAGCCTGTCTCATGGATTCAATCTGAGGGTTAGGATTCTTAGTAAGGATCATTGCTGACTTGGCCGGACCGAACTGAGTGTACCCTACATCCGTGGCCTTGATGCCTTGTAAGTCATATATCCCGGTGTTCGGCTGGACGTATACCTGGTTGAACCCTGCCGCTGGTTTATGAAGCACCTGGGACACACCATGTACAGCTGGGCTCTGTGTACCACGGGCGAAATTACTAGATACTACAGGCCTATTTTTCTGTACTCTGCCCCGCGACGTAAAAGCAGCCGACTGTTTCAGCAGGATATTCCTGGGAGCCTGATAAATCACTGGCCCAGATGGTGTCCGAGAGGGCTGAAACACTCCCCTCTGTTGAAAGGACGTTGCAACTACTGGCGTTTTGGATTCAAAGACTGCCCCAGCATTTTTCACACCCGTGCTGGGCTGTGAGATCAGCGCACCTGATGCTGAAGCAGAGACTGGTTGAGATGAAGATGGGGTATAAGGGATAGAAGGAGGCATCGACTGACGTGTAGGACCAATATACGGTTTGACGTTAGTTCCATGGCTGCCTGAGAGACTGTGTCTAAAGTGTGAGTGTGGTGCATGGTGTGTGTTGTGTGACCTCTGTGTGTTGTGTGTGCGGTGTGTGTTGAGTGTGTTGTTCTGCTGTGGCACAAGAGGAACCCGGCCCTGAAAGCCTGGAGCAGGGTGCAGAGTCTTGGAGACAGTATGATGCGCGGGTTCCTGGGTAAATCTGCTAGCGATTGGCTTCAAATCTGTCCTTTCCTGCGTGGGGAACACAGACAATGTTTTATCTGAAACAAAATAAACGAAATACCAAATCCTAGTAGGGCATTGAGAAGTGGAATGCATATGAAAAGCAAGATTTATTGATGTCAACTTCTTTATTATGAATAACACGACGTTTTGGAGTGTATTCTTGCTACTTCATCAGGTAATCAAAGTAGATTCACCTGATGAAGGACCAAGCATACACTCCGAAACGTCGTGTTATTCACAAGAAAGAAGTTGACATCCATAAATCTTGATTTTCTTGAACAAATACCAGCAGACTGTTTTGTGCATTTAAACTTATATATGTATCATAGAATTATAAATCTACCATAATTGCCATTTATTTATTTTTTTTATTTTTAATGACAAATCTGACATTTCTTTGAGAGGCATTTTAGAAGTTGTATTGGATGAAGGAAAACCAAGTTATATGGACAGTCAACTTCTTTATTGCAATGAGTGCGACGTTTCGGTGTAGGTACTAACACGTTGATAACACTGAGTAGTATGTGATGTTTATGTCACCATCTGGACCAGTATCTTGTCTGTAGTGAAGAAACATCTTTACAGTTATACTTACCCAAAGTAGCCTTGAGTTTTGTCCATGCTGGAACAGAATAGATTCGTATTGTGATATATTGTCGATCCATATAGGACTGAGTTTAGTTTTACGCCGCTTGTAGCAATGTTCAAGCAATATCAGACTATAACAGATATGGTCTTCACACATTGTACCCATGTGGGGAATCGAACCCGGGTCTTATGTGGTTTAACCACTAGGCAACCTCACTGCCCATAATTCATTTAGGAACACAACCGTTGACTGCATGACCATAGTAAAGTATATAATGTTAACTGAGAAGATTAATCAACCTCGATTATCCGCCGAAAGCGATTTCACTTGGATTGTAGGCCAATTAGTGGTGAACAACACTCGAATGGACGACTACAAATCAATGACAAATCACTATATGTGTAAATGCAAGCTAATACATTTTACAACAAATATTGGTTGTGGGATCATATTCAAACTCACTTCCGTTTACTAATAATTTTAATAATGATAATTTAATGTGTAACATATAAAAATACGCATTTTAAATTAGACGACACATCGTCAATGGGCACATGTTGGTTTGTCTTTGGGCTATATTCATGCAGTTCACTGTGGCATGTTAATAAGTAACTGAAAACCCTCACCGTGCTTGTCCGGCCCTCTGGGCCCTGAAACAACAGAGACTGACGTTAGAGTTGTAATGCGTAAGACAGAAACGTTTTCTCATGTTCTGTATAACAAAGTCCATCTTAACCTGAATATTCCTTTGGATTTCTTTATCTTGTTTTTGTAAAAAATGAAATTAATACTTTGAATTTGACAATAAAATACACGAATGAAGTACAATAGCAAGAAAGTATCTGTCTTCGAGCGTTCAAATCTTGATTTAGAATTATCGCATTTATCACTTGTAGACGACGTAGCACGACAACGTTATTCTTATTCTTGTATAATGTTCGGTGACAACTTTTTGGCGTCTAATATTAATATATAAGTATAACACCATTTTCTGTATGTATATCATACATGGCATGAACGTTCTGTTACGTATGATGTTAAAGAATGTAACAAGAAACGTTTTGGTTCTGTCTTAACATCAATAACATATGATTTGTTAACTTCCAAACAAAATTATACAGAGGCATTTCATATTGTTCTTCTGCAAGAGATAAACCAAAGATTTGGTAACTCACGCACATTCGTTTGATGAATGTCGACAACGTACCTGGTGGTTCATTTCCTAGTCTTGGATCTGGAAAATACTTGAATAATCATGTGTTTGTTTGGGGTTTTTGTTTGTTGTTTAATGCCGCAATCAGCAGTGTTCCAGCTATATGGCGTCCGTCTGGACCAGACAATCAGTGAACAACAGCATGTGTCAGTCAACCAGGTCAGCGAATCTGACCGCCCGATCCTGTTAGTCGCCTCTTACGACAAGCAGGGATTGCTGAAGTACAGTTCCAACACGGATCATGTGACTGTCCACAACTGACTGTGTGGATTTTAACACCGGGTTCAACTGTCCCAATCTATACTACAACATGACAACAAAGATACAGGTTATGATCTATGTATTTGATTATTTTCACTCTTATACACATTTATACACTAAACCTACGTACATCCTTCGCGGTGCACGATACATAACACAGATGATTACGACAAAAATAGCATAAACATACTAGGAAACTGTTTGAATTATTGACACAATTATTATTGATGTTGTTTCAAGACAGGTTAATCACAGACCATTTGACAATGTTGGTGATCGAGGGATTTGTAAAACAAAACATATTTCCGCCATTGCTTCAAAATATTCCACGTGTTTGTCTGAAGGAAAGGGCCAGCTTATGTTTGGACCACCACCCATAATCTGGGGAAACCGAATAGTGCAGGTATTTAATACACGATGTATAATAACACATTTTGGTTACTAGATAATTTTCAGGAACTGAATGTTTTCCCTAAACCGTAGATTCTCTAAACAATACCAAATGGTCTGCCCGTTCTTGATGTGACAGTGTTAAATAGCATTACACGTTAGTGAAGCAGCATATAGAATAGCTACAGGCGGTATACTTACATCTATATCGCTTCGGCTTCTCCGTGACCGTCGGTGGGGCTATAAGAGGGAATAATGTTATTTCCTAATATATGTATTCACTGCGGTAGTTTTAACCATGTGCCAAAGACTGACGTCATGTACATTAACATGCTTATAGAAGTTTACATAGTTATCGGCTCGCAGCTCGTTCCAGGATATCCGTAGAGGATTTACACCTTATAAGTCGACCTGATACCAAATTACTGTGTCACTCTCAAGACAAAGCTTTTCTTATAGCTTCAAAATATTTAGCCGAAGATACAATTACAGGTGCTTGTTCGTCCTGCGTCTATACCTGTTGTTCAATGTGTTAGAAAAACTGTCGACGTTTACATGTAGCACTCTGTGTCGTGATTTAGCGTAAACGAACTTCGATAGACGGGAAAAACTTAAGACGTTAGTTTTGTATTTGTAATACTTTATTTCACTTATGACACGTATAAATAAAGGTGGTTGTTAATATTTCCACTTCTTTGCCAATGTTTTAGTTTGTCTAACACCATGAGATGCCTGACGTGTCCTCTGACCCAGACAGCGCCATCTATGCTAGTGTCACTTACGCCCCAGGAGCTGCCCTGCAAGAGAGGACGGACGTAAGGCAATCTCCAATTAGCATTACACAATACACACAAGTACACATTGTACACAACGAAACCTCGTTAAAGCGAACTCGATGTTTGGATAGAGCGTTCACTGCGGTATACTTTAAGTTAAAGTGGGGTAGTCTAGTGGTTAAAGCGTTCGCTCGTCACACCGAAGACCTGAGTTCGATCCCTCACATGTGAAGCCCATTTCTGGTGTCCCCGCCGTGATATTGCTGGAATATTGCTAAAGGTGGCGTAAAATTGAACTCACTCACTCATTTAATGTTAAATTTTTAAACATAGAATAGCCACACGTTGACTGGCTGTTATAGACTATGGTTAGGTTTGATGTAGCGTGATAGTATGCACGGCATATCATGTTGTAGAAGTCAACAGGGACACTGCGACATCGTCTACGGTATCATAATCTGCTCCTGCATATGCATCGACATAGCTTATCGAACCAGACTCCGGCTTAACAAGGTTTCTACGTGTATACATTACGACGTTATGTTTAATGTCAGATTAATGTCAAGTTGATTACAAATTACATGTTTATCATATTACAAATCAGAGATAAGGAAAGAAATCTGAGTCAATGTAATATCTACAATACGATTAATGTAGACATATTTACTATATTCTTGTTGAAGTCTGATCTCATACCACGATAACACTTTCAAAATGATTTGCGTTAGTCATACTGTTGTTCATCAGTTAGGATAGATGTCCAATCAGATGGCGAATGTGAGTTAAAGGTGTTACTATATGTATTACTAGTTATTTGACATGTGTCATGTAAAACACAAACACAACGGGTCTAGGGTACCCGTGTACCTAGGAATCTACAGTACCTCAGCTCGACTACACTATTTAACTCTCTCGCAAACAATTCCAGCTGATGATATCCCATAATAACGCTTGCAGAATTCCATAATTATTAACCCTTGATGAATTTAACAAACACCTTTCAGGTTTCGAGGGGGCTTGGATACCATGGTTACCAGTTACCGTGGTACCATGGTTACCAGTTATCCGCGAACACCTGATGCCATCTCTGATATTGATTTAATATGGCAGAATCGCACAGTGGTTTAAACAAACGTTTCATTCGATATTAAAGGGTTTTATTGATGTTATCAACTCTGGGAAAGTGTAGAGAGTCACCCCATACTGCTTTATGTGTATTGCCGCTGAGGTAGTGTAGATTCCGGCAATAGTTAGGACAGACACTTACATCCCGTTTGGAGCGGATCCACGGCTAGCATAGACGGCATCTGGGCTGGAAACAGGCATAGACACGTGTGTATAAGGATATAAAGACAACATGCTCTGACCTGTCGCATGTTTAACTCTTCGGACGGCGTCAGAAAGGTGAACGTCACCATGAATTTCTATCAGGTCTTTTTGTCGATAAACATGTTACACGACCAACAAGTCCAATGTTTTAATCTAAATAGCACAGTTTTGTATTGATCCTTGTGCTGAATTCTCTGTGTAGTTCAAAGAAGCTGTTTAACATTACTCTAACCTTTAGAAACACTTGGATCAAAGTTTCAAAGTCTCAACGTCTCCCGCCAATATGCCTCGTTGACGAACTAGACAACAGTGTTTTAATAAGATTGCCAGCATGTGAATGTTTATATCGGGATTGGAACAACTGATGACAATCTTGTCGTAACTGATTGTACAGTGAGATCTACCGCATTGGAAGCAGCGTTGTGTTCCTTGTGTGCGCCAGGATCCTGTGCCTTGTGGTTCGAATCCCTGATTGTGATCTTTTCACCGAAATGTTAGAATAATGACATCAGCATCTCAGGGTGTTTACTTATACCCATCTGAAGTTCCCAGTCCCATTCAGTGCTCACATACACGTGTACCAATAATAACTATGAACTTCCCAAAATCCGCCCTGTGTGTCCCCACCGTAGGGATACAGATATAGTTTGTAGGTACGTGTTTTGTTTACCGTTCATGGAAAACATATGATCATACTTACACCTCCATTGCACTTCCGCAATCCGGGCCGCTAGGGGGCGTTGCAAGTAGGGCATCTCATTGTACTCCGCTGAAACAACAAGCACATGTTATGTAAACAAGGCTTCAAATCGTCGTCATTCACATTTAGGGCGTTAAACAATACGCCGTTACCGCCGAAATGTCGTACATGCCCGAATACTGCCGAACACAGCCGAACACGGCCGAACACTGCTTCATAAGCCAAACGTATGACGCATGACGATCGAAATGGCGTTTGAAGAATATCGTCGCTATATGTGATTTAAAGGTATTGTATCGTCATTTTAAGAATACGCACTGTACTTTTGTTCAAATGTAACATAAGTTGGGATTACACTTTTTTATAGTATTTAGGCCACATATAAAGTGCTGAACACGCAGTAGGGACATGCTCTAAGCTCATACAACGTGATGGACTCCGATACCCCAAGCTGCTTGTGGGGCGCTAGAAGGTTACAGTGCATTTTTTGGTTGAGTCCCGGTTCGAACCCCATAGACTGAGTGAGACACGAGACCGCTGACAGACATAGTCAGCGTGCTGACCAACACAGTCCGAGATCGCCAACTGTCATCAAATATTGATCCATTGAACAGATTGCCCTGTTAACACCTGTCAAATTAGTTATCATTAGGGGCGGTGGGGTAGCCTAGTGGTTAAATCGTTCACTTGGCACGCCGTCACCCGGGTTCGATTCCCTATATGGGTACAATGTGCAGACAGATGAATTCTGTCACACAGACACAATGTGCAGACAGATGTATCCAGTAACACATACCTAGTTGATCTAGGGACATCAGTGCTGTAATACAAACAGACATTGGCATCAACGTGGCACAGACTCTACATCGTATTAAATATATACTTACTTTCAAAAGTTTAGACTCACTAGTGTAGATATAGCTACTTACTTCAGGCAACTGTTCTAAAGTAAATTTTGCAAAATATTCCATACTGTTTAAAGGTACTGTTTACACATAAACTGATATATTGTAAAACAAATTCGTAACGTTGAAAAGATTATTGTCATGAGTTCAATAAATGATAAAAATCAGTGAAAATTGGCGTAATTCTTAACAAAACATTACACCAAAACGCAGCTGTTCACATGCACGATATTTGCATATGCCTTTCATCAATTTGATGCATGATCCTCGTGCAGTTCATCTGCATAAGGTTTGCACTTGGTTCCCCCAAGTTAGTGGAGAAATCAATCTTCGAGTAACGATATATATATATACATCCACAACATATAGTGAGTGTTTTAAGTGTGTCTAAACGTTTGAAAGGGAGTACTTGTAAAGAAATTACGTTATTAGAAGAGCATGGCCGTGATAACATAATGAGTGAGTGAGTGAGTTTGGTTTTACGCCGCACTCAGCAATAATACAGCTATATGGCGGCGGTCTGTAAATAATCGAGTCTGGACCAGACAAGCCAGTGATCAACAACATGAACATCAATCTACGCAACTGGGATACGATGACATGTGCCAACTAAGTCAGCGAGCCTGACCACCCGACCCCGTTAGTCGCCTCTTACGACAAGCATGGGTTACTGAAGATCAATATTCTAACCCGGACCTTCATGGGTCTGATAATATCATGAACACACGTATCCATTGATCTGAAAACATTAAGATGTTTGTGGCTCTGCGTCAAGGAACCTTATGTCGGAAGTACTTGATGTTCTGCTGCAGTACTGCCGGGGTGTCTTAATACTGACAACTAGGTCCCAACGCTGACAGTCGACATGACGTCAGATTAATGCACCATGACGTCATTCAGTAAGACTCAACAACGGTGTTTGTCATCTGCGAACAATGGCGCCGCACAACGTGAACAATGCGTTCATACACATTAAGCAATCATTGTATATCTACATTGTATGGGGTTGAGTATATCTGTATATCATGAGCGATATACAATTGAATGTTACTTAAATTAACGTAACAAATGGTATGGTCAAAAAGGGAAATGTATCGGATATCATCAGAGATACGTAAGTGAGTACGCTGTATACGTACGGAAACCCCTGGCCATCCCCATGCCCCCAGCTGCCGGGGGAGGAGGCCCTCCACCGCCTCCACGGGCGCCCATCCCTCCACCCATTCCTGCTCCAAGATCCATGCCGAATCCGCCTGAAAAGAAACTTATGTTTCAAGAAATACAACACAACATATACAGAATGCCAAACACTGATTCCTATTAATGACTTTAGTGTAAATCCTGTCACTGTGCCGTATCTCCTGTTTGTAGTTTATCTGCTGTACACGACCGGGACTTGACGCAATCTAACAATATGGTGGTACCGCACGACCGTCAGAAAATAAGTAAATGTTCTATACGACATAAGTTGACATTACGTTGCAATATATCTGTTCTAGACAACTATAGACAGACATAGCGTCACTATGCGTCTATTCTTCAAAATATGCTGACATAACGTCAAAATATATCTGTCCTACGCATTCAGATTTTGATATTATGTTAGAATATATCTATTGCACCAACCACATTTTGCTCTAACGTTGCAATACATCAGTTCTACACAACCAGGGTTTGACATACCGTTCTAATACACCTCTTCTACGCGTTTCTTTATATACGGTTATGATATATTTGTTCCACGCAACCATATTTTGATATAACGTGAGTGAAGCCCATTTCTGGTGTCCCCCGCCGTGATGTTGCTGGAATATTGCTAAAAGCGGCGTAAAACCAAACTCAGTCAGTCAGTCAGTGATATAACGTGAAAACATATATCCGTTCTACGCCACCAGGGTTTCATATTAATTTACAATATATCTGTTCTTTTTTATATGACGTTACGTTATAGACGTCTACAGCCGCTAATAATCCGTGAAAATTTCCATAAAACCCGAACTTCCGCATCGCCTGTTTGTCGTAAAGGGCGACAAACGGGATCAAGTGAACAGGCTCGTTGAACTGATTGATGCATGCTGTCGTGTCCCCATTGCTCATATCGACGCTGAAGAAGTCAATCACTGTATTGTCTGGTCCCAGCTTGATTACTTACATGTAGTTGGAAAATTGCTGTGCGTTGCGTTATACAAGGACCATCACTCACCTCCCTCTATTAATCCCGGACCGGCTAAGGCGGGGTCCACTTAAACAAACATACGAATAAAAGAACAATGTAAATAATGCTTAACTTTCATTGTTGGGTGGTTGTCAGTAAACATTCGGTGTGTCATAAGTGCCCATAAATGAAATGCCGGTAAGTACAAGATAAGTTGCTATTTATGCAATCACATTAGAGGAATGTGCTTGGTATGTTCCTCTGATCCTGCCGCAGGCTCCACCGTCAATATTTGGCTGTAGAAGTAAGCTTAGAAACAACATTCATTTTGTTTTTTATGTAATCGGATACATACATGTATACTTACGAATTGTACATATTGTATGGAAATGGGAATATTGTAAACATTGTATTAAGCTGTGATAATTGTACACATGTTCATCTTTGATTATTCTACATATTTTGTTGAACTGTGAATATTGTACTTATTGTATTGAATTGTGACTTATGCACACGTTGTATTGAGTGAGTGAGTTTAGTTTTACACCGCACTCAGCGGTCTGTAAATAATCGAGTCTGGACCAGACAATCCAGTGATCAACAGCATCAGCATCGATCTACGCAATTGGTAACCGATGACATGTGTCAACCAAGTCAGCGAGCCTGACCCGATCCCGTTAGTCGCCTCTTACGACAAGAATGGGTTACTGAAAACAAAGACTAACCCGGACCTTCATGGGTCCACACGCTGAATTGATCTGCGAATAGCAGATACATTGCACTGCGTTAAGAGTAGTATCTAAACTTTATTGACCCATAGATCTTAAAGATACTGTGAATACGGTACACGTTGTATTGAACTGTCAATGATGTACACATTGTATTGAACTGTGAATGCTGTAATAATTGTATTGAACTGTCAATAATGTAATAATTGTATTGAACTGTCAATGATGTACACATTCCTTTCAACTGTCAATACTGTAATAATTGTATTGAACTGTCAATAATGTAATAATTGTATTGAACTGTCAATAATGTAATAATTGTATTAAACTGTCAATACTGTAATAATTGTATTGAACTGTCAATGCTGTAATAATTGTATTAAACTGTCAATAGTGTAAACATTGATTTGAATTGTCAATACTGTAATAATTGTATTGAACTGTCAATAGTGTAAACATTGATTTGAATTGTCACTACTGTAATAATTGTACTAAACTGTAAATACTGTAATAATGGTATTGAACTGTCAATACTGTAATAATTGGATTGAACTGTCAATGCTGTAAACATTGTATTGAACTGTTAATGATGTAATAATTGTATTAAACTGTCAATAGTGTAAACATTGATTTGAATTGTCAATACTGTAATAATTGTATTGAACTGTAAATACTGTAAACATTGATTTGAACTGTCAATGCTGTAATAATGGTATTGAACTGTCAATGATGTACACATTCCTTTTTAACTGTCACTACTGTAATAATTGTATTGAATTGTCAATACTGTAATAATTGTATTGAACTGTCAATACTGTAATAATGGTATTGAACTGTCAATACTGTAATAATTGTATTGAACTGTCAATAATGTAATAATTGTATTGAACTGTCAATACTGTAATAATTGTATTGAACTGTCAATAATGTAATAATTGTATTGAACTGTCAATACTGTAATAATTGTATTGAACTGTCAATACTGTAATAATGGTATTGAACTGTCAATACTGTAATAATTGTATTGAACTGTCAATAATGTAATAATTGTATGAAACTGTCAATACTGTAATAATTGTATTGAACTGTCAATTCTGTAAACATTGTATCGAACTGTCAATACTGTAATAATTGTATTGAGCTGTCAATGATGTAAACATTGTATCGGACTGTGGGTACTGTACACATTTTATTGAACTTTGAATGCTGTACACATTGTATCTAACTGTGAACACTCTACACATTGTATTGCACGGTGGATAATGTAAACATTGTATTGAAGTGCGAATACTGTAAACATTGTATTAATCTGCGAATACTGTAAACATTGTATTGAGCTGTGAATACTGTACACATGGTTTTGAACTGTGAATACTCTACACATTGTATTGAAATATGAAGGTTAAAGACACTGTGATGAACTGTGAATATTGTACAAGTTGTATTGGACTGGAAATATCGGTAACGGTCACATGAATTGCAAATACTGCACAGGTCATACTGAACTGCTCATAACAAAAACATTGAATAAACTGTGAATATTGCACACGTTGTATTAATCTGTTGTACGTTTATTGTATATCGCCTTAGTTCAACCCTAATACATACTGCCCCTGAATGTATGTTGCACAATACTTACTGAGAGGGCTGCCCATAATCTCCCCTGAAATCATACAATGACATGAAATACATTAAATATATTTACTTCAAAGCTATATATACACTTGGTTGCCCAACCTACAAATATCACCATTGAAAGATATATAATAAAATATGTTTCTAACATTACTGTTGATCCTAGTGTACATCCCATCGTTGTATTATGTATAAATGTAGTTGTATGTATAAAACATACATTATATTCATTCGGTGATTAGATACGCACTGGTCATGTTTATTTTCTTAATGTTAGAATTATAAACATTTGGAAGTTTATAACTAACAAGGAATAGTGCCATAGTTACCTCCGCCCCATTGTCCCGTAACACCTGCAAGGTGAATCAGCGTTATTGGTAACATGTCAGGTGCAAAGTACAGTTGTAAATTACAGGTGTACATTGCAGGTACATATTGCAATGCAAAATAGTGGTACAAATAACCAATCTCCTCATAACACGATAGTACTTGACTTTAAGTCTTCGTGTAAGGGGTTGGACATGATGGTTGTGATATCAGATCTGAAAACGTTCACAATGATTCTTAGATATATTTGATCACACAAAAAGCAAAGTCATCTATCTGGTAAGTATGAAAAATATAAATAAGCTCAAACCTACCTTTTAATGTCAACAAAACGACTATTGGTTGAACGAGGAACCTCAGTGATACCATACTGACCATATCCACATCGGAGCGAGGAGGCCCGCCTGTGTCATCCTCCCTCGTTAATAGGACGTGACACGTGACATTTTAATTGTCACGTTGAACAAAGGGCGTCTTCCTCCTTGCATAGCATGCATACACGTCACAGGAAAACAGACACCGTGAAATGCTTCAAGATAGCGCTTCAAATCATCATTTACACAATGTCACTAGTGTCTGCAGTTTGAATTATATTTCTTGGTGTACTGTTTGACCTGGTTTATCCGAACACCGCCTTTCCTTGCGAAATCGGCGAATTGACACATGTCCGCATTAGGAAACTAAGGTGATCGTATCACAATACTCGACCACAAGGAGTATGGTCCAGCTTGACGGGGTCCAGATTAACGGGATTCACTGTTCTACCATTTGTCAAATGCTTATGTACACACAGGTAGCAAGAATATACCTTGCAAACTTCTCTTTATCACTTACTCCCAACTGAATGGTCAGTAATTAGACAAATTAAACAAGTCCATGCCAATAGATGCTTTTGAAAACAGAAATATATATAGAAATTTTAAATAGAAATCAACTTTTATATAGAAATCAACTTTATTTCAAATATACATCATTGGTTCCAGCATAGAATAGAAGCGGATGACATGGGAAGGTTATATATTATAGGAGATCGACAAATTATGATTTATCCAAAGGATAACCCTATAGGGTCTCTGTGCACTGGGGTGATCTCAGCCAAACACTAATCTATCCAAGAAACGCACCTTTGTGGTCAAATCTGCCAACATTATATCAAGCTAAGTAAGAATGGATCTGGACCCATTGCATTAGGATCACCCATAGTATGTGTAGAAAGATGTGAATCCAATCCCATTCCCATCCCATGACCACCACCCATCCCCTGGCCACCACCCATCCCATGGCCACCACCCATCCCCGGACCACCATCCATTATATAACCACCCCCCATCCCATGACCACCACCCATCCCATGACCACCACCCATCCCCTGGACACCACCCATTCCCATATCAGGTCCATGGATATGATCAGTGTGCCCAAATCCTACATCCATTACGGAACCTGCACTCATTGAGTTCCTCATCCCCATATCAGGGCCGGAGTACGGACCGGTATTTCCAAACCCCATGTCTGTTGCGGCTGTCAATGACTTCCCAAAGCCCATATCAGGACCCTGGCTGCCAAACCCGACATCAGCGGCTACACCCATGCCATCGCCAGGAAATGGTCGTTCGTTTCTGAAACCCATATCCGCTGCATGCCGAGCTTCCATTGGGTGCCCAGTAAGAGTGTCAAGACCTGCTCTGCGTCTTGTCAGCAACGTATCAGCAGTTCCTGTTCCTCTATGACCAGCAACTGAAGAACCATGGCCATCTGAAGCATGACTAGCACCTAGTGACGAACCCATCATAGTAGCGTCTTGTCCTAGACCTGTATCTGCAACACCATTAAATGACCTGTCTAGCCTTGGACTCTGTAAATGACTTGCTCTCCCTAACCTCTGATCAGCAGCAAGATGAAGTTCATGTAGGTTATCCCGACTCTTTCTGTTTGATCTTAAATGTGATCCAGAGAAAACGTCGTGCGCCATAGCGTCACGTGCATGATCAACACCATGAATATGCCTGGAGTTCATGACATCCTTTCTTACCCCTATATCGCTTGTAGCTGTCTGACTGCTCGGAACGCCGTGCTCAAGGCGGAGGTTTCCACCACGGACAGATCCCTTCTCCATGACCTTCTCGTTAGTACCAAGCGACTGTGTTATTCTTAGCCTACCCCCATACTTGTCAATTTGTGGGTCCCTAACAGGAGTATTGATGTCCGCCTTTCTTATTATTACAGGAGGTCGGAATCTACTGGCAAGCTCAGCATTACTAAGCTTACCACCATCTACGATGGTAGTACCGCCTTTCCACTGTCCGACAACGCAGCACCAACATCAATTGCTTGAGCTTTGTTCACAACGTCTCCAACGATGTGAAGACGTTTGGTCTGTTAGCAAACCAGCAGACACCGCCGTCACCTCGATGGGTGGTGGATCACCCCGACGGCATTTCTCAACGACAGTTTACCTTGCTCTGATATTCTGTTTAGATCTGTTTGGCCAACATCATGTAAGGTATTCCTCAAAGCAAATGCGTCTGTCTTGATATTAGTATCAGAAACTGGGTCTGTAATCCGGTCTCTTCCACTGATAGTTCCCGTGCTACTGTCAAGAAGACCGTTGTTGCTTAACCTCATCTCGGCATCTTTCCGGAACGTTGGAATGTTATTATTGCGAATTCCCCAAGCGTTGTATCCTTCACTGATGTGCCATCGTGTGACACTTGCTGGGACACGGATGATAGCCCTTGAGCTCCGGTTTCAATATTTGGTGAAGAAAGTACATCATTTGCTACCTGCGTGCTTTCCCTAATACCCGGGTTACGGACACCTGTAGTTCTATCCTGGTTTAAATGGAGATCACTTTTACTGAGGAAGATGTCGTTTTCAGTAAGAGCCGTTCCCTGCGTCAGCCTATGTCTCCCAACTGTATCAAACTTGGAAACGTTTTGAGTGTCCAATGTCGATAACGTTTCTTTTTTTGTCAACATAGTATCGGACGAAACTATTCCTCCAAGGCCATCAGGAGATGTCATTGAAAAGTGTCACCATTCTTCCCGGTCTCTGCAACACCCGGTGTCTCATGGACAGAATTGACAGTGGGTCTCTTTGAAAATGTTTTTGTAGTGCCACCAACAGCCGAACTCAGAAACCTAGGCTGCCCATTAAACTGGGAGTTCATGCTTGAAGGTGACTGCATCCCCAATCTTCGCGTGACAAACTGGGATCTCTGGGCCATCCTGCTCCTTGTGAAGGATGGTGATGTGCTCTGGTGGGAGAAGCTGGACATCCGGTCAGACGAGCCGGGTGAATTCCAAGACATCCTCCGTGAATTATGACCAAATGATGAACCACTGCGCATTTGTTGATGTCTGTCTCTGCTCTGTAGGAATCTACTGGAGCCGCTCAGTGCTGCTTCTCTTCCCATATCGTGAGAATTGAAGTGAGAGTTGGATCTTGCTGACATTCTCCAGTTAGGGCGTGTCATCATGTCAGAGGACTGAGACATTGATGAGCGGGGATGGTCTGAAAGGAACGATGCATCTCTGGATGTTTGTGACATCCTGCTTGACATCATACCTGGATCGCTGAAGTCTCGTCTAGCATTCTGCAAACGTACGTTGGCGAAATCCTGGCTCATTCCACTGTGTTGGTGAGACATTCCTGGAGACATTTTTCTCTGAGTCATCTCGTTTGCAGATGGTTTTCTATTAGATGTAAATCCAGCGTGGTCTGATGCTAACTGTGATTGACGACTTAAAGCCTGCTGTTGTGTTCCTGACTGAGAAAGCATGCTTTGTGTTTGACCAACGGCACCTCCAGTTGGGTCAGTCATTCCATCTAAGGCCTGTACCGCATTAGTACCAATACCAGAACTTGAAAATGCTTGACTGCTGACCAGGGAAGATTTCAGAGTACCACCCGCTGCTAAGTTTTGTGAGGATTGAACTTGGCCTTCTGCTTGCCTGTTCGGAGATGCTACCAGATCTGCTACTGCCGTATTTCTAGATGAGAAGGATGCAGTGCCTTGAGATAATGAATTCCTACCTCTCTCCAGCACTGACTGAGCAGAACCTGTGAATCTACCTGAAAGTCCACCTGATTGATCGGTATTAGAAAAACCCGTTTGTTGACCAAAGGAGCCTCTAGGTTGAGTGTCAGTAACAGTCGGGTTCAGCTGACGAGAGGAATGCTCTGTAAATGTGTTAGGATTAGTAGGATCGTTCCGGCTGAGTGGATGATCTTGAAATCCATTCCCCATGTCCACCTGTGATCGTAGTTGTGTCGGCCCCATTCTCCGCCTCTCGTGCAGCGCCATCTGGTGGGATGGATGACGTCCCTGTAGCCTGTCTCGCAAGAACGTCGACCGAGCACGGACATCTGCAGGATAAGGATCAGGTCCTATTCCTCCCTGCCTTGGATAAGAGTTGCTTGGCCCATGTCCGCCAAGACCTTGATCGAATGCTCCAGGACCATTAAAACCAGGGTCGAAAAGGTCCTGATCCACCCATAGATGGATCATAGGGTCCAGAACCTGCTATCGCTGGATCATACGCTCCAGGTCCCACTCCAGGTCCCACTCCACCTGCCATACTTGGATCATACGGACCGGGTCCTCCCATACTTGGATCATATGGACCGGATGCTCCCATACTTGGATCATACGGACCGGGTCCTCCCATACTTGGGTCATATGGACCGGATGCTCCCATACCTGGATCATATGGACCGGATGCTCCCATACTTGGATCATATGGACCGGGTCCTCCCATACTTGGATCATATGGACCGGATGCTCCCATACTTGGATCATATGGACCGGATGCTCCCATACTTGGATCATATGGACCGGGTGCTCCCATACTTGGATCATAAGGACCAGCACCCCTGATTGGACCATTTGGCCCTGGGCCCATTCCGCCCATGCCGCCCATTCCGCCCATCCCTGGATCGTAAGGTCCTCTGCTCCTTACTGGATCATAAGGACCCGGTCCAGCCATATTATTGACATAGGGGTCTGCTGCTCCCATTGCTGCTCCCATTGCAGGGTAGGCACCGGATGCTGACATTGGGTCCAAGGGCAGAGCAGTCATTGGTTCCCTGAGAGCTGGAGTCATTGACGGCGGGGCCATGCCTGGCGGTGGCTGTGCCCACGTGCCCGTAGTAGCATCTACAAACAAAACGACAGGCTTACAACATGGGTGTCTTGTCCGTGGGCGTGTTTTTTTAACCTTTCAAAGAAACCCTAACATTGTTTGCTATTACTTGTATATTTGCTATTGGTAGTATAAAAACTGCCATTCTGCCAGATAAAGTAAGTGAGTTAGAAGTTTACTTCACATCGACATTATTGCAGCCACATAGCGACTCAGTTAAAGAATAGGGGAAAAACTAATCATATTGATCAGTTGTTGGTTGACAAAATGTGACGTTATATTGTATGACGGTTCAAACATGGAGTAGAGTGTGTGAGTAAGAATGGTTTTACGCTGCTTTTAGAAATATTCCATCAATATCACGGCATGGGACACCAGAAGTGGGCTTCACACAATGTGACGTTGACACACCTATAAACAAAGCCATGTTCTAAATCGTAAGTTGTATGTTGGTTGGTTGGTTGGTTGGTTGTACTTTAACGCCGCATGCAGCAATATTCCAGCTATATGGCGGCGGTCTGTAAATAATCCATTTTGGACTAGACAATCCAGTGATCAACAGCATGACCACATATCTACGCAATTGGGATACGATGACATGTGTCAATTAGTCAGCGAGCCTGACCACCCGATCCCGTTAGTTGCCTCTTACGACAAGCATGGATTGCTAAAGATCAATTCTAACCCGGGTCCTCACGGGCGATAAGTCGCATGTAACATTCGCGTGTAAGAATTGTTTGCGTATTAATACGTACCAAAGCAGGGTATCCGGCAGCCGGCTGTGGAGAAAGAGACAACATGTGTAACACAAGATGGAGAAGATATGTACATACAATCCTAGTCGAGTCAGAATCATGTGAATACATATTAACTCACTAATGACAACCCGGAAGTAAAATACGATTCCACGTGTTTAAATGTCTTGTGGTGAAGACCAACCAACAACGTGATGTTGGTATTCTGGTGGAGGGACTGGTGTGTCGGTGTACGTGCGTGTGTGCGATTGTGTGATACGTTTGTGTTTGTGTGTGCGGTATTCATGTTCGTGTGCGCTACCTGCGGGGTTGTATTGATGCATTCCTTATACAAATGAACGGTAAATACGGGGAAATGCCATTTTGTCCCAGGTTTACACTCAGAAAAAGACCGCCTCCGTGGAGTAGTGGTTAGAGCGTCCGCCCGGAGTGCGGAAGGTCGCGAGTTCGATCCCCGACCGCGTCATACCAAAAGACGTTAAAATATGGTACTTGTTGGTCCCTGCCTGGCGCTCGGCATTAATGGTTACATCAAGGACTGGTCGGCTCGGAGTCAGTATAATGTGTCTGAGTGGGGTATTCATGCTTCACTGCGGCATGGTATCTCAGTGGGCTAGCACTATAAAACCAGCTTCAGTCTGGGCTAGTACAAGCAGCTGCACATACACATACACACGCATGCACGTCGTCATATGAGCGAAATATTCTCAAGCACGACGTTAAACCCACTTCCACCACCACCAACACTCAGAAAAAAAATATGTTAGCTAGACACGCTGCCAATACTAAGAAATATGTCTTGTCACAAACACGCAATCATTTCACTTCGAGATAACTGTTGTATATGAGATGTCCCCTCACTCTGTACGTGCAGATAAAGATGCCAACATCTTCAGCATAACGTTTAAGGATATAGTTTGATATCTTGCCTATACGAGTTATAAGTTTTGTATTTCGAGTATGGGTAGTTAAATATGGATTGCATGTAGGAGTGAGTGAGTATGGTTTTACGTCGCTTTCAGCAATATTCCAGCACTGTCACGGCGGGGGAAACCACCAATGGGCTTCACACATTGTACCCATGTTAGAAATCGAACCCGGGTCTTCGGCGTGACGAGCGAACGCTTTAACCACCGGGCTACCCAACTATCAACCCATGTAAGGGAGGTGTTTAACGTATTGCTTGTGAGGGTATTTATGACGTCACTGACTGTGACGACTCTATTCAATGTAGCGGCCTCTTGTGATCAGCTGGGCTGTGGGTAGCCTAGTGGTTAAAGCGTTGGCTCGTCACGCCGAAGACGGGTTCGAATCCCCACATGGGTACAATGGGTGAAGCCCATTTCTGGTGTCCCCCGCCGTGATGATGCTGGAATATTGCTAAAAGCGGCGTAAAACCAAACTCAGTCAGTCAGTCTTGTGATCAGCAGTACAATAGAACCTCCTCAACACCAGGTCCCATGGAACTGGTTTTATGCAAATTTTAGGAAATCTGTTCCAGCGAACATGACGTCACTTACCATCCGCGACTTTGTCCGCAACTGCAGTAGCTGAAATGGCAGCACAAGGTAGTTACAGCGTTATCAAGAATATAAACCCAAGGAATATAAGCCTGGGAATCAAACATATATAACATTCACTGAAGGGTACGGTTTCTTTTGCCCCTCAGTATATTTACGCTCCTTCGTGTATGACTTTACAACACATTGTTCTGTACATGTTTCGCTACAAATGCTTGAATATATGTATTTATACATCAGCGGATATAAATAAATATATGTATGATTATTTACCTAGGTCGGCATTCATGACCTTCACCTTTCCAGCCTTCTTCTTGGCATCTCGTATAACACCTGTAGAAGATGAAAATGAGAAACACGCCCTTAGTGCAGTTGAATAACACATTCATACCCAGAGTTGCACAAACGCTCACACCTGTAGGTTATCAAGGTTTGTGCAGGTAAGTTGGGCGCAATCCTCTTAGGCTCCGAGGTGCTATGAGCAATGTTGTAGATCGTAGGTGTGCCAATCGTCTAGATCGTTCTGCCTCATCTGACAAAATGAATGTTTCTTGGTGTGACTGCACCATCATCGGATCCTCCTTCATCATGCCTCACCTCACCTCACCTCACCTCACCTCACCTCACCTCACCTCACCTCACCTCACCTCACCTCACCTCACCTCACAGGTAAACGGTTTCACTGGAAACACAAACTTACTATCTTGTCGACAACATAACTGACAAAATTGAAATCAAGTCCGATAACTGGTTTGGAATCCCAATGGAAACAGATTATACTTACATGCAATGTTGCCCCCACCGGTTGAAGGAACTGAAATATATACAGAACAGATGGAAGCCCTGTTTCAGACAAAACAAGAAACTATTGAACATAAATCTTCACCAACGGTTATCAGAACAGAAGTGTACTGTACTCTTCCGATTTCGTACTGATTCACTAGCTTTAACCGATTCAAAGCTGGTTATTATTGAATTAATACATACTGAATCACGCACTTGTTGACTGATGTACAACAAAGAAGGTACAATTTCTTCTTGTAATGCATATCATGTTAAGATATTTTTATGCAGAACCTACTTCAATGTGGCCTTAATCTAATATAGATTATTTCATGTCCTTCTGTAAATAATCGTAAATTATTTGATGTATTTGATATAGAACAATCAAATACATATGGGAATGTATGGAATTACACCTACTACATTAAACGTTTTCATTACACCATACGTAAACTGAGATATGCACAACCAAAACATTACATATTGATTAGCGTGATCAGTAGAATTCAAGACAGGTACATGTCTGTGTTCAGCATCATGGGTAACTTAGACTTTGATGACAGCAATCGTAAACAGGATCGCGCTTGTATGTCACAGGCATTTTGTACAGAGTTGTGTTCCCAGGGGTGCCAGGATGCGGTGACCACGGTTACGGGATCAGATTCGCCATGAAGATGAACCATGGTTTGTTCTCGTGGGTTTAACCACAGTGGGCGTCTACGACACGCATTACTTCGGGCAATATTACTGGCAATGACGAAATACCATAACTACTGCTGAAAGTGTGTGTGTGTGTGTGTGTGTGTGTGTGTGTGTGTGTGTGTGTGCGAGCGTGCGAGCGTGCGTGCGTGCGTGCGTGCGTGCGCGTGCGCGTGTGCGAGCCTGTGTGTGTGTGTCACTCTCATTCACTCGCTCTGACAAGCATAAATATCACCTAACAATTTGCGATACAATCTTTCAGAACAAAAACGCTGTGTATGAGAAGTTAAACTCCACTGCAGGTCACTTTAAAAGACTCAATTTCGATCTCCTGCACAATAAGTAATTCCGTATAAACATAGTTGTTTGTTGGTCATGTGTTTCCAGATAAATCAGAGCATAATTATAGTTACATTTATACCTGAGAACAAGCTAAGGAGGGATATATATCAGAGCATTGCGTGAGTATGTCAATATCAGCGGCCAAGAAGTAAAGCACTTACTTTCTCCACCCGCTGAAAAAGCAATAGATCACAAGATTAAGTGTTTTTCCAAAGTTATGTTATCAAACACAAGTAATACCGTTATTGTCTACAGTCTTATGGTCTGACGATGAAGAACTAGTGGCGATCATCCCCAGTTTTCATGGCTTATCTCTGCAGAATAATATGACCTCCGTCGTTTTGGAGCAATGTAACTGTGATTGCAGTTAATTATATATTTAATTAAGAAAGTATATAAATGGCAACTTCCTCTTTATTGTATAACATGACGTTCCTGGCTACTTCTTACCCCTTCTTCAGGTAAGAAATGTTCGACAGAATCCGTGTTATACAGAAGGAACATCTAAAGCTATGAAGGAAACCTTTATAGGGAAACAACAAACTACTGACCGTTCAGGTAGCTGGTTATGGCCATCTGTATTTTGTCAGCTGAAACAAAGCAAACATCACAAAAGATATTCCAAGCCCATTGTATGCTTAAAGGCACAATGTCATACATGTCCGTAAAGAACGCTCAAAGGGACATAACCCTATAGGGTTCGCTTGAAATAATGTTCGCCGGTGTAGGGCGCGAGAGTCGATGTAATGCAACGTTGCATTAATTCTTCCGAACTTTTAATTT